ATAATTAAGTCAGATGTCGAGATATAATTCATTACATGCCTGAGGAGCATCTCTTTGAAGTTCATTGATGGACATTCTATGGTAGAGGAGTTTGGCGTGTGGCGGTATCGTTATCTAACAAAAAGGATACAATGGTGAGATCTAATTTGGYTTATATCTTTTGGAAGATGAATATTTAGTTACGGAAGATAAAAGGCTGGAGCTGTAGGGGCACGAGAAAATCCAGTTTAGGATCACGAAGCGAAGCACGTGTAGCAGTGTTAGTGAAGCGTGCTAAGGGAAACGATGGTTGCTTAGCAGTGAGGGCGCTCGCATCTCACCAAAGTGACCCGGGTTCGAGTCCCGCCTGGCTCGATGTCATATGTGAGTCGTATGTTGTCGTTGCTTGTTGGTTCTCTCATGTGCTTCGAGGATTTTTCTCCGAGTTTCCTCCTTCGATTGAAAAAAATAGTTTCTAAGTTCCARTTGGAATCAAGTGAAAGAAGAGCCTTTATTTCCTTCTTTCTTCCTATCCTTGCGTCCCTGGTTGCCTGCCTTCTTCAAGAACCTAATGCGGTATTAGTTTACTTACCCCTGCAAGTTTGGTTTCAAAGTCAATGATTTTTTGTGCTTTCTGGGAAACTACGGCATTGTTCGTGCCGCCCAACAACTTGACAACATCTTCGATATACTTCTTGTAGGCTGCAAGAAACTACGTGAAAGGAACAAACGTACACAGTTTTTAAGTACGTCTGGTCGCGTCCTCATAATAGTTATTAATAATAATAATGATAATCATCATCATCATCATCATTAGCATCAGCATCATCCTCATCATTATCACCATCATCATCTTCTTCATCATAATCATCATCATCATTTTCATCGTCATTATCATCCTCCTCCTCCTCCTAATCATYATCATCATGACTATCAGCATCAGAATCAGCATCATTTGAAAATTTCTTTTAATTAATATTCATGCACCATAAATTGATAAATTATAATTAAACATCTGACATCAATTACCTTTGCATTTCTGTACYTATTCGTAGCCTTTTTGGGTCCAGCTTCGTCAATCTAAAACAAATCGATGAGCCTAAGTCAGACTTTTAATTGAAATAAATAAATGGAATGGATGGGTGTTATCAAGAGATCATAGTCTCTTGATGTGATATAAATGGATGGATATTGAGGGGTAGATGGATGAATGGAGGGGGGGATAAATAGATGGCTCTGTGAGTAGTCGATAAGTAAGAAATAGCTGATTACCTTTATAATGTATTCATCATTATGGTGTGCGTTCACAATAACTTGAACTGAAAATAACGGCCCTGATACGGACGTATACTCTCGATGAATTGTAGCAATTGCATTCACAAAGTTCCAGTTACTTTCATTCCATCGTCCAGTCATACTCCAAGTACCCAGATCTTGGATCAGTTGTCGCAAAGGGCCGTCAGCGACATTATCAATCGTAGCCAAACTCATACAGGACTGGTAGACATCTGATGGTATTCGCATCAGTTGGGTACTCGCTCCTGGGATGTTGTTGATTCCTGTTTCCAACTTTCGCTTTAAAATACTCTTRTTTATTTCATCGGTAAGCTTGGAAAAAGTGACAATATACGGTGTACCGCTTGGTATGGGATTGTTCTGGATCCATCCTCCACAGACGTATTGATAAAAGTCTGTACAAGGGTCTGCAGATAAATTCATGGCTGATTTAACAAGCGAGGCTGCCTTCATACATTCCTGGGTTGTACATTCTTTACGCGGCTTTGTACTTCTTGCTCGAGTTTCCCCATTAGTGTTTGCGCTATTATAAACGCCGTCCTTGACGATCCGACTCGCTTGTACGTGTATAAGGAGCATAAAAAGGGTTACCAACAGACAACATACTGATGATTGTAGTGACATCTTTCTTCGACCTGTATATCATTAAACTGCTTCAACTACTGAACTTACTATATCGTAGTTGTCTGTGTGTTTCCACGGTCATATATTTTAAATTTGAAAAAGCCATTAAGTAATGCTACTTAAATGTTGTGAGACCAGCATAACCTGTTGGGCCCTTCACATCGGATACAAAAATATTTGACCTATTCACTTATATTTGAACGATATTCACTTATATTCTTATATATTTGCAAATTTAGGTACTCACAAGAGTGTTACACAGATAACATCTAAGAGAAGAGCAAATATGGAGGGATGAAACCTCTTTTCTTGTAGGTAATTAAACCCGATTTCGTTTGGCAATGTCATTCTTGCTTTTTTTTTTTTTTTTTTTTTCTTTCTTTCCCCCTTCTTTTTATGAGCTAATGCATGTGTCTGTCAAGGTGAAAGATAAATCTTTAAGTAGCGACCAACTTATATATGTAGTTTTATTTCGCCATCTTTAAATGTGACACCGACAACCATGYTCAGGATCCCTTGTACGTTTTGTCCTCGACTTTAACAAACAACACTAATAAGGATTTAGCGATTTCCGGCGCTTTTAATATCGTATCAGTTTTCCACAGTAATTTTCGTGTCTTTTTTCATAGCTSTTTATAAATTCTTACGGAACTCGGTAAACTGTCAATGAGATGATTTGCTTGTCCAAGGATTTTCACACTCCAAGGCATCTCATTATCACGACATGTATCTTAACGACATCATGTTACCAGTTTGTCATGCTCAAACTTACATTACTTAATACTCGAGATTCGAAGTTCTCTGTTGCTCAGGGTTAGCCTCGATTTT